TAATCAACTTAGTTGAGTCTTGACAACTTTGAAATATACTGCTAGATGTGCTTAACCGTCCAAAGTTATCGGCATAATTTTTTTTTTTTAAGGGAGACTCCACTTCTGGGGAAAGAAAGGATATGAGACTCGAACCAAGAATGGACGTTGCGTAATTTTTTCTCATAAAAAATGTCACGTAATATGTTATGTGTCAATTTTTCGTCAACAAACAAAAAATTCAAAATGCAAGAACCAATGTCACATTATTCTAACGCAATTAATATATATAAGCTCGCATGAACAATAATTAAACATAATATATATCTTTTTAAGATGTACAAGATGAATTACAACTTGTTGAAGAGCTTTTATATTCTTCACGACCAGTGGTCAGTTTCTGGGCCTCTCCGGATTGAAAGACGAGATTAACGAAGTGAGGTTTTCTACGTTGGATTGTCCATTAAGACAGAGAATTAGTCCAAGCCCATTTCAGAGTCAGAATCTGCTAGCTGGTGCCCGTTCCCGCAAAGGCTATTATCAGTGTTTTGGACCAGATTGTTGATACATGGCACTCCTTCTTAAACAGCACAGTAGAATTCTTGATCGGGTCTGTGACATTTTTTGTCCATGGGCTTTGAATCTTGACGCTTAATTATGTCTATCAAAAAGAGTGAAGGCTCCGTTTGGAATTCTTAATTTTTAAAAAACAAGTTTTTAATATACAATGTTATAGTAATACACAAATAAAAATAATTCCAGAACATCACATCCATATAATATTTTAAAAACAACTCCAAATATACACCACCACCAACCATAAAAAACGTACCTCTACCCGCCACTCCTTCCCCCTCTCTCCTCCTCCCTTTTCGCCCTCCTTCTTTCTCCTTCTCTCTCTTCCCTTCTCTTTCTTCTCTCCTTCTTCTTCCCTTTCTTCTTCCTCCCTCTTTCTTCCTTTCTCTCCCCCTTCTTCCTCACATCTCTCTCGTTGCCCCCCTACCCCCTTTGGTAATTGACCATGATGATTAGATCAGATCTGGTCGTTATGTTCGGTGACCAGTTTTTTGTCACAACTCGCGACCAGATTTGGTCACGAGTGGCGACCATTTTCTGGTTGCGACCCCCGACCAGAGAGGGGCTGAGGGAGGGTGGCAGGGGAGGAGAGGGGTGGGGTAGTGGTGGGTGGTCGTAAGATTTTATAAAATTTAAAAATATTCTAAAATATATTTTCAAAAACACCTCAAAACACCATTAAAAATATTTACAATAAACATTTTTCACGTACATTGTTACAGTAAAATATTTCAAAAACATTTTAAAAAACAATTAATTCAAAAACATTCTAAAAAATAGATAATCCAAACAGAACCTATTTTTCTGTAATGACTGTATTAGCGTCCAACGTCTCAAGCCCATTTATCACAAAGTTGACTTTGGACATATTTTTGTCATCATTTTCTTTACCATTTTCCTGTGCAGTGCCTGATCTAAAGAGTCATTAGGGGGATACACGAAACTAATCAAGTCGAATACCTTAATATTCAAATTTGTTTGATTATTTTAACAAATTTAAAATTTTGTTCAAACTTGACTTGCTTAGTGATCAAATTTAAATTGAACGAGTTTTTTTATCGAATTTAAAAGTTATGCAACACAAAATGCTATTCATACTTGATTTGACTAGTTAGCAAATCAACTCAAACGAGCTTTTGCCAAGTCAAATTGGATTCGACAAATAGTTTGATTTTTTTTTTCAGTCCTAAGAGTCATGCTTGATTTCTATCAAAAGTCGCCAAAGGGACCATGCCTGAATTTTAGTTTCCGAGATGCTTATTTAAAGAATGCTTTCTAAGCATTTAAAACCGTACCTTTTATAATCTAATCGTCCTTATTAAAGTTTGTTCTAGTAAACAAAAATTTTGATAAGAAAATTCGATTAAAAAAAAATCAAAGGCCTGCATACAACAGGATGGAAGAATTTAATTTATATTTCCCCTGCATGCAACTGTTAATGATGAATATAACTTTCTTCTGTGTTGGTTTTATAGCAAACTGTGATAAATGAATTAGCACAAATATTACTGGGGCTCCGACCGATGAAAATTCCCCTTTTTCAAACTTTTTTTTTTTAATTTTTTTTGTGGAAGTAGGACAAAAGTTGCTTCAAGTAGGACAAAAGTTGAAGCATAGTGTGAAGCATGATTTATTTGGTTGGAACTTGGTATTATAAGGACTTATGTGAAAAATGACATGCGCTTGAAACGGGTGAATTAATAACTTAATTGTAATGTAACTAATTTTTTTTTAACATTACAGTATTTTTTGAAATGTGATTTACGTGAAATAAAAATATAATTAAAAAATAAAAAATAAAGTAACTAAAATATATGTCTATGATGTGAATATAATAATATTTACAAATAACGAGCTATCCAAGCACACTCACTGCAACTGCAAGAAAGACTCTCAGATAAACTGGATGTAACATGTAAAGTACAAGTTACAACAGTATCCTGGATAATTGAGCTAAGAAAAATGGTACATCATCAATAAATTAATTTCGAGCGAATTAAAGGCATTTTGTGTAGGTTTATCTTCGATAAGTCAAGGACCCCCAACAGGATTGCTGGTTGAGGAAGATTTCCAAAGCCCTAGGAATGGGATGAGCCTTTGGATCCCACTGTGAATGTCTTTTAGAAAGCAGGGCATATCCAAGTATGAAGCAAAAACCTAGCTCCCACTTGAATTCTTGGATCAGGCGTCCAGATTTTATTGCTTTACGTGCATACATGGCAAAAAATGCAGTTGGTATCTGCAAGAATTTTATTCTGTTTTTAGGTGCTGTTCACTCAAAGGACATTTTCATCTCCAATACACAGCTGGAATAATACTTTTATCAAATGATTACTAAAAGATTACTCATAATGCAGTCCTCTTCAAGATGAAATGGTAATGGTCTTGCCAGTTCCTGCTTTCTGGTTTCCAGATATATTGTTTGTCGCCACAACAAAATTGCCTCTTATACGGCATTAGATAGACTTTGGACCCAATTGTTCACATTTCCACTTCAGCCCATTATTTCTTGTTCTTCAAGAGGTTTTGGTACAAGTTCACATTCCACAGTTCTGGGATTACACACAAATGAACAGCATCCAAGAGAAGAGAATATGCTTGTAAAGAGGTTAAATCAAATTTTACTAAAGGTTAATGGGGTACAAAAACCTCTGTTTGGCTTAAAGGATCGATCTGCTTGAGTCAAATGAGGTGTGAAGTTTGACTACTTCTTCGGCATTTAGCTGAGGAAGTTCAGAAAGAAGTGATGATGATTGTATAAGATTTAGTTTATGAGCCACGTTGTAGCATTTGGCTGTGGCTCCCTCATCATCTTCCATCTACTTCCATCTAAAGGGACTGTAGAATTTTTGTTCTTTTCCTTTTTCACTTTTGTCGGCAAAAAAAATTATACAGTGGCTTGCAACTCATAAAGATTAAATTGGCCTGTTTACAGTTAAAACATGCATGGATCATCACCAAAAAGATCAAAATGGCCTGTTTAATTTGTTAAGTGAAAAGTTTTACTTTCTCATTTTTTTCTTTAATTAGTTCCATCTAAATGAAAATTGACCCTAATCAATTTTTAGGTAATATTTCAGTAGACGTAAAATTACCGTCTGCATTCTCCTCCTACGTGGTGGTATAGATACTGAGATAAACTATTTTAGGGTATTAGGCAACTTTCATACCCTATCATCTGCTACTCAATGAAGGAATTTTCATGGATGGTTTCACTTTAATTTCTTCAGGATAATTAGCCCATCTTTTGATCTGGTCAAACTTGATGGAGATGTTTTCTGTGAGGGGGTTCGTGTTGCCGGCCGGAGCTGGTTCTTTAATTATAACTGTTAATTTGTACTATCAATTACTTAAAGCCGGCGGTAACTAATTTCTAATAATTCTCCAAAAAAAAAGGCGGAGAACGAGCCAAGTGGTGATCAGAGGTCATACTAAGCAAAGTCCGTTTGTGCTATCTTTGGTACCCTAAAAGACAAATAACCAAGCCAACCACAATTCCAACTCCTCCACTCAGGCACAAAAAATAATAATAATAATAAAAAAAAAAAAGAGGAAAAGAGGGCACCGACTCTAAAAGCTCTAAAATAAAAATATTTCATGTCTCCACTAAATTGTGGTGTGGTATAAGTAATTTTTATCCAAACGAGATCATTAATTTTTTTTTTTGGGGGTTAGTTTCTGTTCAGTGACCATATCCATCTCCAGAACCACTCTTTTGAGCTCCAATAGTAAAACAAAAGCCACAATTACAATTTACAAGGCAATACAACAATTTTGTTTGATTCAAGAAATTCAGATATTGGCTGATTAGATCTTACATATTTTGGTAATTATATATGCCTCACGTGAACTAGATCGATCTTTGCCAATTGAGTAAATGCATCATTGGTTTTTAATTTAAAACGTTTGACAACTGTTTTTTTGACATTTTTATTTTATGAAGCATGTCATTTTTTTCACACGTAATTATTCTTGGTTCCTTGTGTGCACTATGGAGTTTGTCAATTTCGTCATATGACCAGGAAATGGAGGCTGCCAATTCCTTACATCATTATTGTTATCTGTCTTGATTTTTGAATTGAGTTTCCTCAAAAAAGAAAAATTCGATCTAACATTTTCCTTATTATTGAATTGAACCGGCTCTAATTCATGAAAAGGCTTTCGCACTTGAAATATTTTAAACCATTGAGCTGATTTACTGTCCATATACTGGATATGATTTGAACAGGTCCTACTTATTTCTAGTACTAATTGGAAACTGTCACAAAAATTTATAAAATTTTTGTCGAAGTACAAGATTATTATTACAACTCTGTTGGTAAGATGTCCAAGTAAATCCTAGTATATTAATATGATTATTGGCTAGTCTTTTATAATTTGGATTTGGCAGAGCCTCAACTGGCAAAAGATATAAAGTTGGTTCCTTGGCATCCACTCTTGAGGCTCAAAGATGTATATATATGTATATACTTCTCTTTGATGAACTTGACCTTTCATTGAACTCTTCTCTCTGAAGCCATATTGTGACTTCTTCTCCTTTATGTGATTTGAAATTCTTTACAGGGCTGAAGATTAAAATGGTATGCTAATTTATTCTTCACATCAAGATTTATGATCACCTGTTTATTTTATACGTAACAGCAGAGAGTTCAAAGCTCCTGCAACAAATTAATTCTTTTTTGTTTCTTGCATCACTCATCAGGTAGATTTTATACTGTTTGACAAATTCAGTGAACAGCCAGTTTGTTAGAAGAGGTTTCCATGGCAGAAACTCCAGAGATTAGAAAGGAGGGGTGTGGACTGGTGGGAGCAATTTTGCAACGTGGGGTGTTGAAGCCAAGAAAGACATCAGAGTCGCCAATTCCTCGGGACAGCAGCAAGAGAACACCTGTAAAGTTTCTGAGGTTTTATGCTTCAAAGAGGCAAAGAGGCAGCTCGGACGAAAATGATATGGCAGCCGCCATGGACTCCTCAATTGTAGCTAAACCTCCTCTGAAGCTAGCTGAAAAAGCACCGCGAAAACCGAGCATGGACAGCACAATGTTTTCCACCGCACAAGGCCACAGAACTGGACATTCTAGTAAAAGCTCAATGTCATTTGTCAACAATTCAAGTATGATCAGTACCTCGCAAGTAGTGAATTCTGAGTACACTCGGATGTTAAGGAGGGAACCAACCTTCACTTCAAGCGAGTTTAGTGTGACAAGTCACAGGAAATCCAATGTCAGTAGCAAGGGACATCTGTATCGTGCGTCCACAGGCAGTGTTATGCTTGTAGGCCATTTGGGAAACTTGAAGCAGAAAGGACACAATAAATCATTGAGTGATTCTGCGAATTCTAGGACTGTTCGGAAGGGAAATCTTAGTGGTAAATTTGCCCCGGCCACAGCTGCAATGGGGAACATTCTGAAGAAGCCAACTGAAAGGAACCATACTTCTGGTTCGTTGAATAAGTTGGACCCTGAGGCACTGAAATGTCTTGGTAATGAGAAGTACCAGGAGGGAAAGTTCGAGGAGGCATTGGACCTGTACAATCAAGCAATTGCTATTGATCCAAGCAAGGCATCTTTCTATAGCAACAAGAGTGCTGCTTTGATGAGTTTAGGCAATCTCATTGAGGCAGTTTTTGAGTGTCAAGAGGCCATCCGACTGGATCCGTCGTATCATAATGCTCATTATCGTTTGGCAAGATTGTTTATCAGGTATAACAATCTGAACTTGCTCAAAATGAAATCATTCTAGAATAAATGAAAACTTGATATCTTGTCATCTGCTGGAATGTCTGAAACCTAACAGAACTTATCGTTGTCCGTACAATCAAACAGATTGGGAGAAGCAGGGAAAGCTATAGATCACTTCGAGAAATCAGGGCGCAAGGCTAGCAGTAAGGACATTTCCAATGCTGAGAATCTTGAGACACACCTAAATAGGTGCTCCAGAGCTCGGAGACGAAAGGATTGGGAGACATTGCTCAATCACAGTCAGGCTGCAATAGCAATGGGTGCAGATTCAGCACAACAGGTTTAATATCTTATTCCATGAAGAAAATTCTAATCCCTAAAAATTCATTGTCCCATGTTCCATGCAGTCATTATACTGTTTGACGCCTTCTGTTTCTCTGTCCTTTTGAAGATCTATGCTATGCAAGCAGAGGCCTTGATGGAACTCTTCAGGGACGACGAGGCATACAAAGTTAATGATGAAGGACCTGATTTTGACATTGAACTTCATACTAGGTTTCTTGGCTCAGCTGAAACTGCTAAGTTATTGGTAGTTCGATCTAAGATCTTCATGGCTGCAGGCAGGTTAGTAGAATAGTCATCTCTGGGCCTACAAGTTCATTCAATCCGACTCTATGTATCTTGAGGAATCAGTTAATTCAAGATAGCTGTGGTACGAGATATATTGTCTTGGAAGGAGGATAAACAATCCAATTACTACCATGTAACACCAGCATAAATAAAGAAACAAGATTTAATATTCTAAACTGGACTTTGCCTTTGATGGTTTGACAGGTTTGAGGATGCTGTGGCTGCTGCAAGACACGCAGCACGACTTGATTCCAGTGATGATGTGAAATCACTTGTAAAGAAGGTTGATTTTGTTGCATCAACACGGATAAAGGGAAACAGGCTTTTCAATGCATCAAGGTATGCTGAGGCTTCTCTTGCATATACTTCAGCACTAGAGGAAGTGCCATACAACTCTGTCTTGCTTTGCAATAGAGCAGCTTGCCGATCTAAACTGGGACAATATGAGAAAGCAGTTGAAGATTGTACAGAGGCCCTTAAAGTGCGACCTTCGTATAGCAAAGCCAGGTTGCGAAGGGCGGATAGCAACGCTAAGGTAGCTCTCAGTAGAAGGACATAATTTCTTGTCCAATTTCCTTGGCTTTTCAACAGTATAAAGAAAAAAGAAACAAAAACCTGGATGCCTTGCTTTAATTCCAATTCTATGAACAACAGATCGCTTATTCTCTCTCATGTTTCATATGATTTAGCTTGAAAGATGGGAGGCAGCACTGGAAGATTATGAGACGCTGATGCACGTAGTTCCCGGGGATGAGGAGGTAACAAAGGGATTCCAAGAAGCAAGAAAGCAGGTGAAAAAGCAGCACAACTATGAGGTAGAAAAGCCAAGAACCAGTTCTGATTTGAAGTCAGTCATTAGCAACAAGCCAGTGGGAAAAATTCTCACAGCAGCCGGTAATTCACAATTTGATTGCCAATCCTGCATGCATTTGTATTTTTATCGGGTTTAATTGTTTATCAATGCCTACACTTCCTTACTGCTTTCGATGGATACAGAGTTCTATGGTAGTAGTACCAGCTTCAAGCTCTCAAATGGGATTGATTTTGATACCAGCAGTGGAGCAAATTGTGCTGCTGCTACTAGTACTACTGAATTCGGCCGCTCTGTGACAACCTTGAGAGAAATTTTCACCCATTAAAAGGTTTGTAATTTATGCGTCAAAGACCCCAAACTTAGGCGGATCAAACTTTGAGACTACAAGAAATGTAGCAATAGTACGGTATATTTTAAATTTTCATTTGTTTTTGTACATTAGATATGCTTTCGAATCTAAATTGTTTTTAAGTTTTGTTGTGAAAATTTCTTCTCCATTGATATTTTAACTTTTCGTAGGTCTACCACTCCACTCTTGTAAAGGGTAATATTCATGAAGTTTTTTTTTTTTGGGAGAGCAATATATAATAGGAAAGAAAATTTAAAATTTTTTGTGAGGGAAGGGGGGGGGGGTAGAGGGGGACAAATAAATAACAACATCCAAAATATATAAATTTTCTAAGCTTAAAACATAATTTCCTCAAAGTTGGGGGAGCAGTTGCATTGCATCCCCTCAACTACATAAAGTTGCCAATAAAGGGATTTGAAAACTGATGTATCTACTATCCATAGATAGTGATCAAATATATAAGTTTAGATAACAACTTTTGGAATTTATCAGATGCAGCATTTGCTAGGACTTTCTTTAACTTGTTTGTTTTACATGTCTGATGGCAATGGCTCATGTGGGGTGCCAAATGACTGTATCAGGTTCTGGATGCTAAGAGAATCCAATACATGAGCAATTTAGAAACTGTGGAGATTAAAGAAGTAAAGGAAACCGTCAGACATTAAGTGGAAGTTTGTATATATTTCCTCAATTTTTTTTTTTTTTTTTTTTGGGTGTGTATCTTTTCACCTTGAGTACACTTTCATGTCTTCTATTCTATTCTTTCTATTAGTTGTTTGAGAATATTAAGCTAATTATTAGTCAATTTCGATTATTCAATTCATCAAATGTTTGTTTGCATTCATTTTATAAACTGTTTCTGATTGTTGATTGCTGTCTGTTTTGTTTTGTTATGATTTCTGATTTCACAATTTGACCGCCTGAAAATTTGCGTTGCCTGGAAAGTCAATGACAAAGGGAGCACCATCATTCATCCAAATACCAGCAATAAGGAGGGTTGGGGTTGGATTGAAATAACAGAGGGACATACTAATTGAATATCATTGCTACCACCAAACATTCTTTGTTGGCAATAATAATGTCCCTTTTGAAGATCCCCCCACCCCCTCAGTGGCTATCCACCTAACTGCCTAACTCAATATGAAAATAACGAAAGAGGTAGAATGAATGAATGAATGATTCATTGAGAAAATCTTCAATCCATATGCTCTCCATTGTTTGAGAAAATCTAACTAGCAGATTTTCAATTGTCAGATTCAATAGAAACATCTGAGTGTAAGCTAGCAAATTTGGGACATATGCTCTAATCGTATGTCCAAAATGGAAGTTAGATGAATTTTAGGCGTGAGTTAAGTAGATGCGTGTAACTTAGTAGTTAGCATATTTTGCAAAGTCTGTCAATCAATCAATTAGAATCTCTTCAGAATTTTCCTTTGACCTTTGTCGAGCAAATGATGCTGAAGGAATTCCAACAATGTAATTAGTAAATTTGTTATTTTCACTTGAAAAAGTTGTGCTTTTAGCATCCCCTTTATCTTGGAAAGTTAAAATAAGTTCCAAGGATTATTTGGGAGAAATACCTAACGTTGAAGTATAAAGTTTAGTTACTAGTGTCATTGTACGATGCCCAAGTCCAAATAAAATCCCTCCACAAATTCAAGTTCAAATTAAATTACAACCCCCTCTTTTCCTTTTCTTGGGAATTTCAACCTCTTTGCTTGAAAGGAAAAGAAAAAGAAAAAGAAAAAACACCTTGTCCTAGTACAATATTAAGTAATTGTACACCAAAAAATAAAATAATTTGGATTCCTTCCCGATAAATTTAAATATTGGAACCTCTTAAAGCAATTGGAGACATGGTTTATGAAATGTATATCTATGTTTACGACATCGGCTTACAAATTTAAAAACCTGAAGAAGCTTATTACTAATTGGATTTCCATCTTCATGGCCTTCCTGTTTCTTTCTTTCTTTCTTTCTTTCTTTTTTCAATAATTTCTTTTCATTTGCATGATGCTCCAAGCAATTAACTGGAAATTAAGGAAGAACTTTTGCACCTTCAAAAAGAAAGATGCTCTTCATGTCATGTGCAGCGGCTTCTTTAGAGTTTAGATCCCGAATTTCCGATCAGTAATCATGAAGGCCTGAGTTTTCCAAGGGCCTTCTAGATCATCCTCGGTTCGAGTGACCTTTTTTCTTTTTTTTCCTTCAACATTCACAAATTTGCCAAGAATTTCTGAATTTCAATAATATTGGAAGCATCCATTTATTTTCGCTTGTTGCTACAAAAGCACAAAAATATAGATTAAATTACGCTTTTCCTACTCTTCTTTGGTACATCCACAGTGCTGATCCCCTTAAAACATGCCAAAAGAAACTAGCTTTCATCTTCATGTCAAACTTTCATCATCAATCAGAAAATTTAGCAGATCGAAAACAAATTAATGAACAAAAAAGAGCAGAGCTAGGAAATGGCATGATCAGTTAACTGTTAATTATGTAATGGATTTGCTCATAAGAAGATGCGTTTGGCAGAATAACTTTCTATCAGATGTAGCATTTGAGCTGGGAACTTTAAACTTCAAATGGCTATATACATATGGATTGAGAGTATCTGCTTTGCACATCAGACCACATCATACAACTTCAACTTCCTAAGCAGAAAAAGAGAAAGTTGAATTTCAAGGATTTCCACGCAATTTCAGAATATAAATAACATCAATCATAGGAGGTAAATATCACGTAACCCAAAAAAAAAATTATCAAAATTAACAAGAAAATTTGAAGCAAGAAGAATATGGAAATGCAGGGACCTTGATCGTAATAATCATGTATCACCTCTTCCAACTTCGACTTCTTGATAGTGAATCTTTAATCCCACCAACAACCCAAGTTTCTTTTGCTATATCAGAAGAAAATTTGTAGAAATCAGCAGTGCCACATCTCATCACAACTAAGTTATCCTTCCGCTTCTTCTCTTCTTCAATGGCTAGAACCTCAGCCCTTTTACCATCTTCTTGCTCCTTTGTTTGCTTCTCATGATCATGATCATCGTCATCATCATGCCTTTCCTCTTCTTTATCATCATTATCTTCTTCCTTTTCTTCTAGCCTGGTTTTCGCGGGAGCAGATCGACAGCGCATGAGCAATAATGCATTCGGTGGAGGAGCACAAGGTGCTTCAGTGGCTTCTTCTTTAATCAATTTATTGTCTGTCTTGACCAACTCAGTCTTATTAGTGCTGTTGTTTTCTTGAAGAACCATGAACCATTTGGAGAAAACAGTTCTTGAAGATTCACTATCATGATCGTCACTTGCATCTTTGCCAAGATGGTTATTTTGATGGTGATCTTGGTGGCATTCGTCATCATCTTCATCAACGTCATCTTCATCATCAGAAGTGATTGAAGTCGAAGGAAATGCACCGAAGCATCGAAAATCGAATCGAATGCTTCTTAAGCATGTTAAGAACTGCATGACATCCTTCTTGAATCCTAGTGCTTCAGCCCAACCTGGTCTCTTCTTGTGTTTTGATTTATTGTGTAGCCTCTCAATCTCTTCCATGACAGATTGCCAATTCTTGCATGAGCTGGCTTTAGGCTTTACTTTGATTTGGCCAGCACAAGTGACTTTTGGTGATGTTGGTTCATCAATCTCCTTGCTCATTGGCTTGTTTTTGGCCCACAGGATTGGGCTTGCTTGGCCTGCAACTCCATTTCTTGTGCTAGATTTCTTTATTAGGTGGTGGCGGTGGTTGTGATGATGGTGGCTGTGCGGGTGGTGGTGCTGGTGCTGGTGGTGGTTGTGCTGGCGTTTGCTTGGTTCTGAAGGCCTAGCTGGACTGCAAATTGGCTTTGGCATTAGTGTCAGATGGGCTCTAGATGGAAAACATACTAATAGATCTGTGGAGGGAGGCCCTTTGCCTTCTCTGCTTTTCATTTTGCCTTCTTCTTCCTCTTGCTCCTCTAGTTGCTCTTCTTATTGCTAGTTACTATGGCTTTAGATCTTGTGCTTGATGAACTGTTTATGCGAAATTTGATGCGTGGGGTTTGAGTAGTGCTTTGGTTTGATGAGATTTAAAATAAATGTGAGAGAGGCAAAGCACTGACAGCTTTCCTTTTATAACTTTTTGTTTATGAATTATGTGTCCTTCTTCTTTACCATCTTTAATGTTGATTTTGTTGCAATCCCACTCCTTTTTGCTCTCTTTATTTAAAATAGGGTCACTGGTCTAATACCGAACTTCTTCCTTAGCCTTTGCTTTTTTGACAAACCAAATTAAATAAAGCAAGAGAAAAATGAAAAGTTGATGCCCACGAGCCTTGTTTCATGATCCAATCATGCCTAGCTCTCAACTTTAAAGTGAGCCCATGCCAGTTAAGGGTCATGCTAGCCATAGTGCTTTCCTAGCCCTGATTTCGCACAAATTGTTCCAACCAGCCAACAACCAAACAACTCTTTATTTCTTTACCAAATTAACCTTTAGATTATAAAATGGCTTTGGTGAGCTCAAATCCTAGGAGGGACTTCTTCAGCGGAAGATAATCATCGAATCTCATTCAATCTTAATTATATTTGTGTAGCAAATCAGTGCCTGCACACCTCTTACTGCATTTGTTAACGCGTTAGAAGTATGCACTAAAAGAGAAGGCATATAACTACAATCTAGTCCGCATTCTCCACAAATACTCTGGCAGAGAAGAGAAAAGGGTGCCAAAAGTTTAGCTAGATGGTAACAAAATGTGGAATTACTAAAGTGATGCGCATGCCATAATGAAGGGATGGCCCCCAACCCATAACTGCATCTTGCTTTAGGATTAGACTTCTCAACTTTTGGGTTTGGTCCTTCCACGAAGTTTTTTGTCACTTTAAATTTTGAGATAGGGAAAAAAGGGCAGGTCCCGCCTTGTGGCTTGGACAAAGGGTTGGCAACTATTTTTTCAGGCAATTTCCTCCCATTAATGCCTTCAAATGGATGTCTTGACACTGTTTAGTGTCTTTCGAAACAGTGATTCAAGGTCTTCAGGCACTGTCCATGTTCTAAAAGGCTTCCAATTCCAGCCACAAAAGAATTTCATATCACGTTACCTATACCTTCTGCAGTTGCCCATATTATATCATGTTAGTTTTTTTTTTTTTTTTTTGTAAGCAACGATACATTTGTATATCCTAATCTAGGAGGGAGGGGAAGCCTAAGGAGGCTGTGGTAGGAAGCTAGTGGATATACAGACCCAACTAGATCAAGGGAGTGCTCTGACACAACCCTTAGATTTTTTTCGCTGCAGGTGAGATTTGAATCATCACCTACAGCCCAAGGAGGGACTTAAGCCCCTCCCTGGTGACCACTGAGCCATTGGGCCAGTGGTTTATATCATGTTAGTTACTTTAAGAGAATTTGAGGTTGCAATTCTCAGGTTGGAAAAAAGCCTTACACATTGTCAGTGAATGAAGAGTTGGACACTAGTTTGTTGCCAGAGGCAAATGTGACACATAGGAAACCAGTTCAGATGTTTGATTAGGTTGAATACAAAAAGTGGATACATATGGCACCCATTTTCCTTGGTTAGAGGAGGCAAAATGTCTAATTTTCCTCCCCAATCAGCAAACACTGAAGTTCAATCCAACACAACAGAAACTGTTGCAATTGCTTCTTACTGCCGTTTAGCATTATCTATTTTACCTCTGGCTTTCGAATCTGCTGCTGGTATATCCCTGTCCAGAAATGACAGAGACAACGCAACCCCTCCCCTCCTAAAAAAATAAGAACATAAGTAAGTAAAGAATCTTTTTCAGGACCCTGAAACTTCTCAACTTTAAAGAGGTTGCTGACTTTTGGTGTTGAGCTTTATAAAGAGGGGTAGGCATTAAAAGCACGGGGGCCAACGGGAGCAGGAAAGCCTGAGAACAAATGCAATGTACAATAAAATAGGTCACTATAAACTTTTGTTAAGGTGCATGCCCATGGACATGTAGGGTTGGAAGAAAATGGTTGGAACTCAGAAATTGAGAGGTCTGTGCTTTGAGGTAGCACTCCTATTTGGCAATGCGGGAGGTGGATAGATGATGTAAAGTTAGTTCCCTCAAGATTCCTTCCTATCAGGAAAGGACTGGGAAAAATAATGCAGCATTATAGCATATTGTAATGTAACCACCAATGTGGTACTTAGTATTATCTGAGGGCCAATACATCTTGAGAAGATCCACAAAGTCTGGTGACCTAACTAACGAGTTGAGTTGTGTGAAATTTCTGATGATGGACTTAAAAATGTGTTCTTTAAACCATGAAAAAACCATGTGATGTATTGTTTTAATCTTGTAGCTTCAGTCTGCTATATACACAGATGACTATTAGATTCCCCCCTTCATCATCATACCAAGCCTATAAATAGGGATCATGATATTCCATCAGAATGATATGATTTTGGTGATGGAATAATTTGATCCAATAATGCAGTTAGTTGGCTAGGAGATAACAAGGTTCTGTAGTTTTAAGCCTGCAGGTAAAGCAAACTAAAAGCTCCCAACTTCATGCCAGAATCATTATTATTGTCAAATACACTTAAAAATATAACATCAGCTCACTTGTTAGACTATTGAATTTTAGTTTAATTGGGGGCTCCTAACTGACATTACTTCTAATTAGTTCCAAGTGTCAATATATTATAAAAAAAAAAAAAAAAAAGTGGCAAAAAAGAAGGATTAAAGGTATGATCCCCCATCTGCCAACGCATATTTGACAAGTCATTTTGGATTCTTATACCTACACCATTTACAATGCTATTCCATCTTCTTTTTTTTAATCTTTTTATTGGTGTAGTAATGATGCAAGGTGTTATTTATGCCGTAACTACGGATTACAGGACCCAAAATCTTCTTTAAAATAATAGTCCTCTGTTGTTCCGTGTACGCTAGGTTTCCTACAACCGGGATTTTCTCAAGGTCAAGCGTATAAATTGCTCTAGTTTAGTCTACCTAATCATTGCATATGTGGTCCAGAGCAGTTTAGAATGAGCAGCTCCATAGATCCACAGAAAGAAAAACTGTGGCAAAAAAAAAAAAAAAGAAGAAAGAAAGCCCTGTAAATTTCCAGCATTAACCTGAATTCTCCGGTTGACGTGGTGAGTGGTATATAAGCCAACTAATGGTGGTTTTTTGAGGTCAAGTTGAAAGAAAAAGAGATGAATGACTTGCCATTTTTGGCCAAACTGCCATGAGTGGAATTGTTGCTGGTAATGCGAGTAGAGTTGCTCCATGCACCGGCAGTCCAAAAAAGTTTATAATCTCCCGATGCAATTGTAGCCATTTCTGGGGACAAATATAATTAGTCCCACTAACACGGGGGGGTGGGTTGTTCACTTGTTCTTGACATTGCCCATCAATGATTTTCTGATGCCTGCAGAATTAAGACAAAGTATATAAGTTTAAGCAGGAATAAAAAATGTTTGAGGAAATTGTGACATTGATTTTGCATGGAAGAACGAACAAATTATATGTTGAATTTTGTCAGATTTCATGAAGCCAGTTGGCTTGTTAACTTGTGAAGGTATGTTGGACATGGAGCAGGGGCAGCTACTCTTGTTTCTTCAAATTCCTGTTCCAGCAATACATTTAAATCAAACTTGGTTGTCTTGTTTTGAACCCACGAATGAATGATCGATTACAACAAATCTTCGTGATATGCTCCTGTTATCTGCGTATTGAAATCTAAAGGATCCACAAGATATTAGGTAGAGAAATAACTGGCTCCGAGACAAGTTTGAAGAAAGAAGTAAGATTCAGTTCTGGGCTTATTGAAATGACTAGGCTTAATCTTACTTACATGACCTAGCCCTCGCATTTGATATCTGTACGGTTCGCTGTTGACATTTTCCATTTTCTTTTTCTTTTGAATAATAAGTTTTTTTGTCAAAAAGAAAAAGAAAATTCTGCAAATGCACCTATTACTGTAGATATTCCAAATCCTGTTTAATTTGTATGTCATAGTTGAAGAAGAAACTCTGTCATTAGTGCAGGTTTATTGAATGAAATGGTCAAAAATAAGAAGTTGAAGAAGAAATTGGGCTTCCTCCGTGGATCTGGCTTTGAGTTCACACACGAAAGAAACTAGGCTTCAGCCTAGTTCTTACTCAGCCTAGCCCGCAGCACATTGATGTTTTAGTTTAAGAAATTACTGCAAAAGAAAGTATTTCTGAGCTGATATCTTAGATGGATTAGGGCCTCTCACAAATTGAGTTATGGCTTATTCAAATGCGTTTATGTAATTCTTGCTATATTTAATGTAAATTCATACAATTTATATGTAATTAGCAATGTAATTGTATGAATTGATAGATCCAAATTTACACTTAAATTATATAAATTCATAATAAAAGTCATAAGAATTACATCAATCGATTTAAACTGGAACTCAACTTGTAAGGTCATGATCCATTTTAGATTCCATAACTCGTGAGTTATTGGGCAAGTTCCTTTAATAATTAATAATCAAAGGAAACCATCTTTTTCCTGAAAAGAAAACAATTTGATCTATTAAATTTCATATCATACACCTTTAGAATATAATCTGTTTTTTCATTATTATGAAACAAAAAACTCAATCTAACAAACATCTCGATTAAAAGGAGTAACAGAAATTTATAAAAAGACAAATACTTAATCATCAAACCTTAGAAAGAATCTAGCATAGGCATGGCATTTTGTTTAAACAAAGTAATAAAAAAATGGATTTTTATATCAAACAAGTAAACATTAGTGAGTTGGGAAAGCTTTGGTTCAGTGGCTAAAATTAAAATCTTAAAATGAATTTCTACTCTCTCGATTCCCTCTCCTTTTTAAATTCCACCTCTTCCGCTGTTAAGAAAAAAAAAAATGATTAGTGAATAACCTAATAAATCAAATTACTCCATTTAATTTTTAAAGTATGCGGGACTGAAATGAAGATTTGCCAGATACACCAATTACAAGTTTAGCAACTAAAAATTTTCATGAAGTTAGTTAACTCCTAATCCCCAACCCCATAAGCAAATTAAAAAAACAAGTTTTTTGATTCCTCAATTTTAAAAAAGAGAGGGGGTGGTGGTAGGTGATGTAAAATTTAAAAAAAAAATCCTAAAAAAATTATAAATTATAATAAAAATTTAAAAATACATTTTAAAAATATCTCTAAAAATAATTCAAAAAACATTTGCAGTATTTTTCATATATACAGTTACAGTTTGTTTTTGAAAAATATCTCCAAAAACAACTAATCAAAACCAAAATAAAATAAAATAAAAAGGCCGGCCAATTCAATTAGCCGTTCTCTCTCTCCGGAACCAATCCCAAAAACCCTAGCAAAGCCCATTTCCCTCAACCCTGAAGTGAACCCTAAACCGTGAAAATATGTTACTGAATCTCAAGTTGGTGCAGTTTCTTGAGCAAAGGAAGCTACCAATCTGAAAGGCATTCGAGATCCTGGTATTTTATTTCTCTGCCAACTCACGTTCTTTCTTTTGCTTGTTTTCCTTCTGGATTTTTGTTACCTTTGTCAATGAATTTATCAGCAAAATGACAATTCATTTATGTAAAAGCTTAATCTTTCATTCTCTCAAAAACCCTGCACATCTCATCCATAAACCCTATGGCCATGGGGCTTTCTCTTTATCTGTCCTCTTCTTTTCATCCTTAAAAGAAAAAACCTCAAGAATTCTTAACCCAAAAATCATTGCCCTGCTGAGAAAACATGATTTTTCATCTGAAGCTGCTACTACTGTGGCCTATAAATTAGCTCAGCTGAAAATCCCACAAAAATATGGTTATATACAAAAGTGGGATTCGGTATTATCATTCTTAAAAGATAGTGGCTTTTCAAGAGCCCACTTGGAAACACTCGTGAAAAAAGACCCTCAAGTGATATCTCTTAATCTTGATAAGTCTATCAAGCCCAAGATCAAGATTCTCCAGGATTTAGGCTTTTTAACCCCTGATATTGCTGATATTATCTCAGTGGACCCTTGGATTTTAGGGCGTAGTGCTAATAATGCAATTGCTCCTTCGGTTATGGTTTTGAGGAATCTTCTGGGCTCTACTTCAGAAGTTGCTAAGGTGTTAAGGAATGCTGGTTTCGGGGTATATTTGAAATGTGATTTGGAGAAGACCATGGTTCCAAATATTCAAATTTTGGAGAGTTGCGGGATTAGCAAACCTAGAATTATCAGAAATATATATATCTTTCCTAGGTTTTTAACACAGAGGCCACAAAGAATGAAGAAATTTGTTGAAAAACTCGAGAAGTTGGGATGTGATCCGAAATCCAAGATGCTTCTTCATGCCCTTCGGAGTGTGGCCTCAATGAGTCCTGTAGCCTGGGAACTTAAATGGGATGCTTTCCGAGATTTGGGATTTTCGGAAGACAAAGTTCTATCAATGTTCCAGCGAAGACCACAGGCATTTTCTGTTTCCTGCAGGAAAATTAAGGAGACAGTTAATTTTTTTCTTGATTCTGGGGCGTATAATTTGGAAGATATATTTGACCAGCCCGAAGTGCTTACTTGCAGTATTGAAAAGAGGCTCAAGCCACGGCTGAATGCTTTACAGATTTTGGAAACTAGGAATTTACTTAAGCAATGGCCTAGTCTGTCAACATTATATAAGACTTCCAACTCTTATTTCTTAAAGAAATTCATTTTCCCTTATGTAGATGAAGTTGATGAGTTTAACTTGCTATTAAAGGGTGCATGGGCTAAGGATATTTCCCAGTCTGATTATTCTAGATGACAATTTGACAGAAAGACTCGAGACCAGATCTTTGCCATCTTTCCACCTGACCACATTTGAAGTCTCTAAGTCAAACTGCAGCTGATCAAAAACTGTTTGTCTATCCAAAAGTAAATGATTAGTGCTTCATGGCATCTCTTGTAAAGATTATAATCTTTCAAATCTTGTAATCTTGTAAGGATTGAGATGTTTTACTGATTTTTGCTAAAGATAGCCTGTTGATTAATCACTCTGTCTGATTATTGTTTAGTGCTCCAAGCTCTTTAATTAGTTCATGTAGGTGGGTGCATTATCTTCATGTATATCTATTTGATACTTTGTATGCAGTCTCCAAAACATGAGAAAGATAAAACTGTGTTCCTTTTATTGTTGTCTTTCAAGTTCAGTGAGTAATATCATAGACGTGGATGTTATAACGTTGAGATGAGTGCTAGGATGTACCCTTGCAAGAAACAACCCTGCAGATACTTCCAATCATGCACTTTTGGCAAGATAAAAGATGTGCTCTCTTGTTGCATCCTCATATAAATTCCGTTCAGCAACTGACGACACTTTTTGCCATCAATGACTTTTGAGGTGACAATAATTGGAATGATATCAATACAGATGTAACTGGAGGTTCATCAGAAACTTTGCTGGCAAGGGATTCTTTTCTTTTTTTAGCAGAATTGTGATATTAGGAAGTAATGGCTCTTTGTTTAACTGCAGGCGAATTGTTAGTCACCATTGACATTGAGAAGTTCTTCTTAACTAGTCACAAAGTTTAGAATCTGGTTATCCTCCGGTATCAGTACATGTGAACATTCGAAACTTTGAGATTTTCATGCAGAAACAAGGATTTTGTACTCATCGAGAAGTGCATTTTATTAAACTTCTGCCCCTTTGGAACTGTAATCTACCAGATCCCCTACATTCAGCAACATTGATTTAGAAGAAACATAGCATCTACTTACAACTACTTGATGGCTTCTTGATTTCTGAGTACTATAAAGCGTTCTTGTTTTTCTCCTTAACCCGTGTTGAGATCTTTTTCCTTAAATTGCAACTCATTGTGCTCAAGGCTTTCCTTAAACTTGCCATGGTTTATGCTAGGTTTTCTGAGAAATTGAGATTTGGAAACGGGACTCGTGTGACGCTATACTGAAGCGCAGAAGTTCAAGTACTTGGTTGTGATTCCATTGTCTTGCATTTGTTCTCTCCAGAGGAGATCGTAACTCCATGAGTTCAAGTGCCACTGAAGAAATAGCAATATAAGAGTGAAAGAAGGCTCCTATTTCTTGTCAGTATAACAATCGTCTCTGTTTTCAATAGCGAATTTAACCAGACACAAGTAGGGAAGGATAGCTGCTCATACAGATACCTGCTTTTACTTTGATTTACCTTGTATAGAAATTCGAAAACCCAAGAAGGACAAAGATCTGCGGCACCGGTAGAGCGTATGGGAGAGATTGTGAAGACGTAAAAGCAACTGCTGGCAAAGAGTCAGGAAAGGTGCTTGATTCACTTAGCAGTCAATTTATCCTCAGCTTTCTGAATTTTCCAAGTGTGTTTTCATTTTTATCGTAGCGTGTTTGTGTGTGTATGTGTGCGAGTGCATCATCCTACATTGCTTCCTTAAGTATTACAGTAAGGCATGACACGACTCCATTACATCAGAAAAACCAAAGTTTGCAAAGAATGTGGAGCATTCCATAAGAATGACCATGTCTGCCCAAGAACGAGCCCGAAGGCTTATCTAATAACCACTACTATAACCCTTGTTTCAAAAGCCGGCCGTCCAGTTGATATATAGTCTTTGAGACTTCCCGGTGGCTGGAAGCACCTTGGCTTGCTGCTATGCAGTTGTGGGGAGAACCGGAGAAACAAAATGTTAAATAGACTTTATGGGCAATGATCTGTGTGTATTTATTGACACATGGTTATGGTCGATTCGTACTTTAAGCTTTAATGGTACTCGAGTTTCGAGGATAGATTAGTTTCCGTTGCATGTAGTATTAGATAGTATATTGTTTTAGAAAACATTGCCAATTGAGACTACATGTTAAATTTTGTCAGATCAGATTTCTCTGAGTCATGTCTGGGAGGCATGATTGATTGTTATTCTCGTACAGTGGAACATAATCATTGGTAATGATGTACTGCTATCATGGTTTTCTTGTGGTTTACTCTTTATGAGCAGCTTCAGGTATGATTATTAGGTGGACGTTGCTATTTCCTTTCATGGCCCAGTCCTTTGGTAAAGGATGCTTAATGCTTTCAATCTGATGTAAAACACTAGTTGGCTAGTGAGTCGAGTTATTCATAACACAATTAGCAAATACTACTACTGCATCCTTCCTTGGAATTCTTGCCAACATTTTGCTTGAAAAGATTTTGTATCGATGAATATCAAAAACAAAAAAAAAAAAGTATCTGAATTGTCGGAAGTGCGGCAACACTTTCCTCACCTAAATGGCCAAGATTAGGTGGTGAACATTTGATGGCCTTATTATTCTCAACAAAAAGTTCCGACAGTGCAAAGCAAAAGCAAACCACTTCCCTAGCTAAATCCTAAGCTGCTACGATTATGATATGTATATCAGGGAAAAGATCAACCAGGTCAATGACTAAAACTGCAAGGATTATGACATGTATATCGTAGAATGTCCAAAACCAACTCCACAGTGTCTTCAGTAGCACAATTAAAGCAGCTATAATCCCAAATTGCAATGAATAACAGCAATTTAGAGTCCCTTGAGTTGGTGAATGTCTTCCTATCAATTCGGGTTCGAATCTCTTCCGGAATATCTATCCGTTGCACAGGATTTGTCTGGTGCGTCTTACCCCTTCGTGCGGTTTGTGAGCTGTTGCGTGGGATAGGATTTATTCAGTGCACACTCTCAGATAACAGCTGCGGGTTCCCTTGCCAAAAAAAAGAGCAATTCAGAAACTCTTCGTGACAGAAACAGCGAACAAGAACATGGAAAATACTTGAGATTTTCGGCAAACAAGAGAGAGCATCAAACTTGTACAATCCCATCAAAGCAAAAATTAAAACTGAAATATATAATACGAATTACAACTGCTCCAAGTCATCAATAACCACTTCAAAGATCTATCTATTAGAATCCGAAACATAGCACATCCCTGTGGAAGCACCTAGGCAGGCTGCCACGATGTTTTTGGGAGGGGGGAGAAAGCAAAATGTTACAGAGGCTTTATGTGCAGTCATCTGTATTCACCGATACATGTACGGTTATGGTCAGTTCGTACTCTTAAGCTTTTATCGGTACTTGAGTTTTGAGGATAGATTTAGTTTCCGTTGCATATTGGCTTCAGCATTGCTCCGACCCTGTGGTGTTCTAATGTCTATACTTGAATAGGAAAGAGACATGATGGCACGTACAACTGCATACACAGAGACGGCACTGATTCTGCTGACCCCAGTTTTTCACTTCATTGCCGCAGAGATGGAGATCCAAGTCACGAATTTTAATGCAACTCTTTTTGCCCCCATGGATTTATGTTTCAGACATGTAAAATATCTAATTAAAATTTTGTTTTAGCAAATATTATTGCCAATCGAACAATATGTTGGATTTTGAGGGATCAGATTCTTCTGGGGACCAGCTCTTTGAAAATTCTTTCCCTTTCAGGAGTCATGATCGATTGTTTTTCTCGTACAGGGGAACATAATCATCTGTAATGATGTATCACGGTTTTCTTCTGTTTTACTCTTATGATGAGCAGCTTAAGTTATAATTGAATGCCTTTATCCTTCCCGCAATCTCAGGTGGACGTTGCTATTTTCTTTCATTAAAGGTTGCTGAACATTCCTCCCCTTTTTTTTCTTTTTTTTTTTTTTTTGCAGTAGAAATGCGGAACCTTCCTTCAATAGAAGAAATCTGTTTGTTTATGCCCCCACCCGTGTGTCATCTCGAATCTACCCTGTGGCCTGCTTTTACAGATTCAGTCGTTTCTTTTCTAAACTATATATATATATATATAGAGAGGGAGACTTTTCTTTGTGTAAATAGAAAATCTCGAACTCAGACCTCTAATTTACACTCTCTCCCTGCGCCACCCACCCAACCAGCCCTCCCCATTTTGTAAACTATACGAAGGCGATGCCGATGTGGGTAGTGACTGCAGCGACTGAACATGGCACTTTGACATGTCGAGTTGCTGAATTTGTGTTGAATTCTGGGCAACTAATGGGACAACGGAACACTAGATGGCTAGTGATTTACCAACACAACTGCAAACATTGCATTACTCCTTTCTATTGTCGCGTATATTTTCCAAGACAAATAACAAGGTTCATTGCATCGCTGGTTCTTAAAATGTAAGGGTTCATTTGCTCGCAGCTATCAACTCTTACCGACATAAGAATCTGGAACCTTCTATCGAAACACAAACAAAAACTCCTATGCAATAAAGAAAAAAATCCCAACAAAATCACCAAGAAAAAAATTAAGTAAACGATCACAGAACCAACAACTCTGTTTTCATTTTCATGGTGGCTTCATCAGCATAAATGCAGTCACTATAATATAATCCCAAACTGGAAGGAACGAGAATGCAAAAGCTCGGCCAGCCAGAAACAGAAAACATACACAGAGGGTCACCTGAAATTCCTCAAACATCAAATTTATGTTATGGCCTTTTCTCAAGTTTGGAAGCCATTGAAAGAGGTAATCACAAAAAACAGCATAATGGTTAATCTGCTGCAAGAACATGGAAAGTGCATCAGATTTTCGACAGACAAACAAGCATCAAAACTCGTACAATCCCATTAACAAAAAAACTAGGATATATACAAATCACAAGGACAGTTCTAGGTCATCATTAACCATATAAAAGGCGCCTAGCTATCAAAGAGTCGGAAACAAAACACATCTCACAGACATCTCTATCATACACTTCCTTAATCAAAAAGAGTTCATCTAAAGAATATAACTCACTGATATCTCTATCATACAGTTGCTTACTCAAAAGGAGTTCATTTCAAGAATATAACTCCTGCATTTGAGCAACCTCTCAATAGCCTCCCCATAAACTCCATCGCCTCCGAACGCCCCCATCGCCAATCCCACATCCCCGCTCTGCTCCTCCGCCTCACTCCCTCCTCCGCGACCACCACATCCACTAGCATTTATGGGCCTCACAACCACCAACGTCGCCCCTTCCAATTTCACCCCATTTGATAGCTCCATCCGTGCCTCGTGCCTCATCCTCATCCTAACTGCAGGCACAGTTGTCCGATTACTTTTCCACCAAACCCCTGCCCTCCGATTGTTGTTACTGTTGTTGTTGTTATTGTTCATCTCTTCTTCCTCTCCTCCCCGCTCTCTGCACTCTTTCAATCCGCCCTTATCCATAACAACCATTCCTTCGTTGTCCTTATCTTTGACAACCAAATTAGACAAATCCGTCTGCTCTCTAATCACATCGAGCATCATATAATGCCTGGCCGAGGCTGCGATTAACGCACTGATCGTCCAAACCACCCGCATTTTCAACCCACCGCCGCTAAAATCTGCCTCAGATCCGCCGCGAAACCCCAGAATCACGCAGCTCTTCAGGGTCTTCCCGAAATGCGCTTTCCATTTAATCGTGGTGCCTTTTTCCAACCTCAGGTCGCCGGAGGGGAGCTCGATTTGGAGACTCCGGATGTTCTCGAACCCGCGGAGGATCTGGGTGGGAGAGTTCTGAGTCCTGGTCGGGCTGCCAAAATGGGTATGCTTGTTTGGGGAAATGAAATTATGGAGGGATTTAACGATGGATCGTAGGAAGGCGAGGAAGAAGGAGTCGCCATCGTCGTCGTCGGAATCGGTCGTAGAGATGACTCGGTCAACTCGGAGGAGGAGCGAGTCGGCTTGAGGAACCAGCGAATTGAACCTTTTGGAAACGGAGCGGCAACGGATTAGGGTTTTGATGTCGGAGATTTTGCTGAAGATGTGGAGGACAATCGGGTCGGGTATGGAGTCGAACCCGTCGGACTGATCGAATCCATAAGCCGGATGCTTCACATTAATCTCCATTTCTGGGGAAGGGAAATTTTTGGCTGTGGTTTTCTTTTTCGAAATTTAGTTGGTTGTTTAATGGGAGAAAAGGGAGGAAAGAGGAAGGGACGATAGGGGTATATAAAGGAGAAGGAGAGAGCAGGCTCGAAGAACTCACCAAATATGGCAGAGTGCGGATTTTGCTTGGGGGGTGGTCCTAGGGGGTTGCGGATTTGACCGTTGACCCGTTAACTAGAGTGATTTTTTCATCCCAAAAAAAAAAAAGGTAATTTCTTAATAGGGTTAATCACAATTAATCCCACCCCATTTCTCAATTATCCAATAATCCATTTTTTTGTCTCATTTTATCCTCTATGGTACATAATTATTTCTCTATTATTCTAAACTCTTTTTTTTTTCTCTCTCTCTTTTCCTTTCCCCATTTTCCCTCCTTTATTTTCTTTGTTTCTTTCTTCTTTCTTTGATTTTTCCTCTTTCTCAGAAATTTCATCTTAGTGATTGAAAGTGAAAAAGAGAAATTGGAGAGATCTATGTTCTCCTCAAATAATCACAAAACATTCAAACCACTTCCCTAAAATACCATTTTTTTAAACCTTTCAATTCTTTTGAATTTTTCTTTTTCCATTCCAGTTTTTTTTTTTTGGGTACAATAGAGGGGCCGTTACATATTAATTAGACGAGGTATTGCCATTCCGCAAACATCCTGACTGAGAAGCGCTTTTAGTTTCTTATTTTATTCTCAAGAAAATATAACAAGACGAATTTGTGACCTAATTAATAATCATTAATTGCAATTTATGACACATGGCATCATACAAAAGATCGAAATTAGCTTTTGATGTCTTTTAAAACTTTTCACCCAAAAATGCAATTGCAAACTCAAGATAATGTTTTTCGTTGAGATGGAGTTTTTCTATTGGAAAGAATGGGAAGAGGGAAGAAGTAAGAAAGAGAAAAAGAAATATAAGAGTAGGGGTGGAGGGAAAGGAAAAAAGTCAAATAATAAAAGGGTAATTTTGTTCAATAGGGGATCAAGTGACAAAAATTAAAGGTTGGGAATAAAGTGAGAGATGGGATACACCTTAAGGGGACTAATTGTAAATAACTCTTCTTAATATGTACCTAAGAAGTATTGGTTATGTAATAATTTTTTTATTGGTTATGTAATAATTTTTTAACTGTGAAAA